AAGCTTGATGTTCTTTTATATAACGGCCAACATTTAATTAACAATATTACACTAAATCAATTAAATCATCTAAATCTAGCTAGCTTTAGTTTTGTTTTTGTTTCTGGATTATTTACTAGCTGTAGTCCCTGCTTAATTTCAGTATTACCTATTTGTATTGTGTATATATCTGGAGAAAGCCAGGAATTAAGTCAAATAAATAAATTAAAAAATTTATTTTTCTTTTGTTTAGGTAGTATTTCTAGTTTTACAACTTTAGGCTTAATAGCAACTTTATTAGCAAAAACATATTCAAAATTTTTCAATGGAATCCCTATAATTTCCGCATTAGTTATTATATATATGGGATTTAGTTTACTTAATCTTGTACCTCTTAGCAATAATAAAATAAATACAAAAATTAATAATAATAATCAGAATATAAAAATGTATTTAAGTGGTATAGGAATTGGATTAGCAATTTCTTCGTGTAGCACACCTATTTTTGTGACGCTGTTAATCTGGATTAACTCTAGTCACAAGTTATTTATTGGACTAATTTTTATATTAATTTACAGCATAGGTTATATTTTTCCAATTATTATTGGTAGTCTATTTTCTTCTAGATTTCTAACAGTTGGATCTAATCCTTTTTTTAATAATCTATGGGCTCCATTTAGCGGCACAATATTGCTGAGTGCAGGCACTTTTTCACTCTTTTCTAGCATTTTCAAGTATTAAAAATTATTTGAAAAAATTTCCATACATTATTAATTTAATAATAAACATAATAACTTAGCTAGTATACAAATGCGTTAAAAATCTAAATTAATCTTTGCATAATTGAATTAGCTCAAATAATAAAGCTAAATGATTTAAGCCCTTTTACAAGATTGAAGGTACGAATTCTTTAATTAGTTAAAATATATACAATATTTCTATATTAAGTTACGGAAACAACCTAGAGGATAATTGATAAAAAATAAATTTTTAATATTACGAATAAAATGCAAATTAATTTAAGATTCAATAAAAAAGATGTTCGGTGGTATCTATTAAGATTATTCAGTAATTTGCAATTTTCTATAATACTTCTGTTAGTTATTGCAAGCTTTAGCATTATAGGAACTATTATTGAGCAGAATAAAGATATAGATTTTTATCATACACATTATAATATCTCTGATGAGCACCTTACTATTTTAAACTGGAAAAATATAGAATTATTTGGCTTAAACCATATTTATACAACATGGTGGTTTTTGACCTTACTATTTATTTTTAGTCTTAGTTTATTTATATGTAGTTTATCAAGACAAATACCATCTTTACAAAATGCAAGAAGATGGTACTTCTATAAAAATCCTAATCAATTTAAAAAATTCACAGGAAGTCAAGAAATTAAGGAAACTAAAATACACTTATTAGCTTCATGTCTTCAAAAGTTTAATTACCATACATTTCAACAGGGGAACTCTATTTACGGGTACAAAGGATTACTCGGTAGATTGGCTCCTATTTTTGTACACGCAAGTATTATTTTACTACTTATTGGTTCAGTGTTAGGCCTGGTTAGTGGTTTCAGTGCACAAGAAATGGTTCCATCCGGAGAATTATTTCGCCTACAAAATATTATTGCTTCGGGTAAATTCAGCTATATTCCTCAAAATTTTTCTGCTAGAGTTAATAATTTCATAATAGAATACAATCAAGATAATTCTATAAGTCAATTTTTTTCAGACATTTCTATATTAAATACAAAAGGAAAAGAACTAAAACGTTCAACAATCTACGTAAACTCCCCATTACGATTTAAAGGTTTAACAATTTATCAAACGGACTGGGACATTATTGCAATTAGAATTAAAATTAATAATACTGACACGCTACAGATTCCTTTAAAACAAGTTCTTTTACCTAATAATAATAAGATTTGGGTAGGATTAATTTCTCAAGATCAGGATAGTCAGGTTTCTCTTATCTTACAAGACTTGAAGAAACAAGCAACATTGTATAACAAAAGCGGTGAAAAAATCATGTCTGTTAATATGGGAGAAAGGTATCTTATTGACAATAATAATATTGCATTTTTAAGTATTATACCCAGTACTGGCTTACAAATTAAAAGCGATCCTGGGCTTCCAATTGTTTATACTAGTTTTTTCTTTCTAATAACAAGTGTTAGCGCTAGCTATATTTCTTATTCTCAGATATGGATTATAGAAAAGAAACATGTTTTCTATATAGGTGGAGTAACAAATAGAGCTCAATTAACATTTGAAGAAGAATTATTACAAATATCTATCAGAAGTTCAAAAATATGAAGATTATTTTAATCACTATCTAAAAAATTCTTCAAAAGTTGTTGACCACAAACTGTCCATAAACTTTCTGGATGAAATTGTATCCCTCTTAACATTTTATACTTTTTATGACGACAAGCCATAATAATGTTATTGTCTGTCCAAGCTGTTATATTTAAGTTAATAGGAAAATCGGATCTATCAATAATCAAACTATGATATCTAGTTGCAATAAATGGATTAGGTAAATTTATGAATAAGTCCTCTCTATCATGATATATTTGAGACGTTTTGCCATGCATAATTTGTGGCACCTTAATTATACTACCTCCGTTAATGTAACCAATACTTTGATGACCTAAACAAACACCTAATATTGGTATATATTCAGCAAGCGAAGAAATAATATCTAAAGAGATACCTGATTCAGTTGGTTTACCTGGTCCAGGAGATATTATGATTTTTTTAGGGTTTAATTTTTTTATCTTTACAAGATCAATTTCATCATTTCGACAAACTAAAACATCATGCCCTAGTTCTCCGACACATTGTGCTAAATTATACGTGAAACTATCGTAGTTATCAATTATTAAGATCAAATCTTTTATTCCTGAAATGCATTATTTAGATATACCTAATATAGGAGAACTAGGCTCCGCTTTTTCACTTATCGGCATTCGACCAGCAATATAAGTTAGCCTACCAGATTGTACAGCAAGACTCATAGCTCGGGCCATTGTTTGAGAATTCTCTGCACGAGCAATTGCGGTATTAACTAACACTGCGGCAGCACCAAGCTCCATCACTTTCCCTGCTTCGCTTGGAGTACCAATTCCTGCGTCTATAATAACAGGAATTTTTGCATTTTCTATAATAATTTTCAAATTAAGAAGATTTTTCAAACCTTTACCTGAGCCTATTGGGGATGCCAATGGCATCACTGTAGCACAACCAATATTTTCAAGTTGTTTTGCTAATACTGGGTCTGGGCCAATATATGGCATTACCACAAAGCCTTTATTTATTAGATATTCAGCAGCTTTTAATGTACCTATTGAATCAGGTAATAAATAGCGAGAATCTGGTATGACTTCTAATTTAATAAAATTATTATCAGATTGACCTAATTTTTTGACTATTTCTCTTCCCAAAGAAGCTATACGAACTGCCTCTTCTGCAGTTTCACAGCCAGCCGTATTTGGTAACATCCATAATTTAGACCAGTCCAGACCATCAATAAGATTAGTGCGGCCTAGATTTTTGGTATTTTGGGCTCTTCTTATAGCAACTGTAACAATATTTGCACCGCTAGCATTTATACTGTTAATTGCATCTTTTAGATTTTTATATTTACCTGTTCCTAACATCAATCTAGAACTAAAAGTTTTATCACTTATTTTGAGTAGGTCTAATGAGTCATTGTGATTTACAAAATGTGGTAGACTAAATGATTGTTTCATTATTATTAATCCTATATACTTTTAATAAAAACTATTTTAAGATTTAGTAAGTTTTTTAATAGAATATAGCAATTACAGCTTATTAAATTAAATAGAGTTTACTCTTATAAGAAAAATGCAATCTTAATCAGTAGGAAAAAACACTTATTTGAAAATTATTGACATAATTTTCAAATAACAAAATTTAATAAAGTTTGATACTCATTAAAATTTTCATGATTAGACTATTTACATTTGGAATAATCACTATATTAATATTAGTGATTGCGAGACTAGCTCTTCAAAGAGCATATAAATATATTACATTAAATAAACATATTAATACTACTGAAAGTAAGACTCGGCTCAGTATTCGCTTAGTATCAATTATTCCTTATTACTTGCCACTTTTTGAAGGACTCCAAAACTTTGGCCAGTATGTTTTGCCTGATTATCCTGTGGGGGCAATACCTCTATATAAAAAAATACTACTTCCAATGTTAATTTTTTATATGAATCACGCAATATTAGGCTTAGTAACTTTTTTTGCACTTTATTATGTATTGGTACGAAATAAAAGTCCTATCCCTGTGCATCAATTAGTTCGTTTTAACTCAATGCAATCAATTTTACTTTTTTTAGTTGGTTCTCTATTCGGCGCTATTTTTCGAGCTTTTCCTATAGAATTTAGAATTAGTTTTATTGGCTTAATGGTCTGTAATATGATGTTTTGGTTCGTACTATCTACTATTACCTATTCAATAGTAAAGGCTCTTCAAGGAAAATATTCTAATATACCTGTAATATCAGAAGCGGTTAGAATTCAAATTAGTGGATACAGTACATAAATAATAAGGATAACACATGATACAAACAAAAAATAGCCAAGAAATAAAACTAAACTGTTATGAAACTGTTTATTTATTAAAATCAGATTTAAACGAAGATAGGACTCTATCTATCATAAATGAATACAAAAGCATGCTGACCAATGGTGGAGCAAAAAATATTATTCTACAACATAGAGGTAGGAGACATCTTAGTTATTCCATCAAAGATTATAGAGATGGTGTTTATGTACAAGTTAATTATGAAGGAAATGGGAAGCTTGTTCAATCTTTTGAAAAGTCATTAAGATTTGATGAAAATATTATTAGGTATTTAACCAATAAGCAAAGTAAAAATAGTAAAATAGAAGGTTAATCTAATCCACATATTATGCTTGTATTTTTTAATACAAGCATAATATGTGGATTAGATTAAATATATTTAACAAATAGCTTTGGCACTGAGCTACTTTTCCAAAGGGCTACCCCTTAAGTATTCTTGCCGCTACAGTGTTTAACAACCGAGTTCGAGATGGATCGGTGTGGTTCCACTGTGCTATTGGCACCAAAGCA